TGCACATTTGTGGGCTCGGAGAGCAAGGGAAGACAGGAGAGAAAAACAGTTTGGTCTTCATGTAACATCTCATTGTTTCTTTTTTCTTTTTCTTTATATTTTTATTGATTTCAGAGAGGAAGGGAGCGGAGAGATAGAAACATCAATGATGAGAGAGAATCATTGATCGCTGCCTCCTGCACGCTCCCTACTGGGGATCGAGCCTGCAACCCAGGCATGTGCCCTTGGCCAGAAACGAATCTGGGACCCTTCAGTCCGCAGACCAACGCTCTATCCACTGATCCAAACCTGCTAGGGCTCATTGTTTCTTATTCTCTTCTGTGACAAAGGGCAGGGGAGTGTGAAATTTTTCATCATTCAAGTCCTTCTGCCTGTGAGTGTGGTGGAAGCACAGCATATCCTCAAGATGCAGGTGTGATTGGTCAACATAAAGTCGCCTGAGAAAACAACCCAGAGCAGGAGGAGGAAGAGGACAATATGGCTGCTTCTCAGGTAAACGCTCTGTCTTGGCTCAGTTCTGTGTCTGCTTTTCCTTCTAAAGTTCACGGATGTAGGTGGTGCAGACCTGCAGACCTTTGCTTCTCTATATCTGATGATCCTGCCAGAGGGAGTTTGTTTTCAACTACTAACTTTTTTTTCTTATAGCTGTCCAAGTTTCCTCTTTTTTAAAAATCGTCACCGTAGGATATATTCTCCACCCCCCACCACCACCACCACCCCCCCCCCCCCACATACACACACACTGATTTCTAGAGAGTGGAAGGGAATAAGGAGGGAGGGAGGAAGGTAGAGAGAGAGAGATTGAGAGAAATAGAGAGAGAGAGAGAGAGAGGCACATCTTCTTGAAAGAAACATGTGGACTGGTTGCCTCCCACATGCACCCCTACTGGTGTCAGGGAACCTGCCACCGAGGTAAGTGCCCTCAACCTGGACTCTAACCCGCATCCTTTCTGTCTGGGGCAGATGCTCTAATCACGGAGAATGGCAGGGCCCAAGTTCCCTCTTTAAAATGTTACTGTCATTTGGGGTTTTGGGTTTTCCAAGATAGAATTCAAGAGGAGCTACCAGAGAAATTTCTGGGCATATTTTCTTAGGCTTTTCCTAAAGGATAAGGGAGATGACACAGAAGAAAGGAAGGTCCTCTGAGCTGACTCAGGGGCTGGCTCTGCTTGGCGGCCATAACAAGCTTGGGACACATAGGAGGGTGGTTGGAAAAGGCCTGCTGGTGGTTACTTGCTTTTCCAACAGGGTTCCTGGTAGCGCCTGCGCTGTGAGGGAAAGATGGCAGTGTAGTCACTAGAGCCACCCCAGAAAGTTCAGGTAGCAGTCAAGCCTTCATCAACTGCTCAAGTACATCAGCAGTTTCAACATCTGCAAGGAAGCAGGCCTTTAGGAGGGAGATAAAGTCAGCTACCTCTGCGTTTTTGTCCACAGCTTTCTGTCTGCTGTGTCCATCCAGGTCCCCCATAGGAATCTCACCAAAAGTTATGACCATTGTGTGGGAGGAAGATACTTTCTTCTACCTTCAAGGTTCTCTCAGCTGGCCTAATCAGAAAGAGGGGATATGTATGGGAGCTGCACACACATGACAGAGTCAGAGACCCCACATGCAAGAGAGGCTCAGAGACTGAAAGGGAAATTTAGCATGAGACAGTCTGAGCCTGGGATGAGGTAATGCACTTTGAAACTTCAGAAGATCTTTGACTGGAGATCACATGTTCAGGAGGTATTAGTTTGCCTACCACCTAGATAGGTAAAAAGTCATTATTGGTTTTGACACTTATCATGGGCCAGGCTTCTAATTTAAATTTTTCTAGGTAGTTCAGGGGAGAGCAGAAGCTTCTCTTGAGCCCATAGCGTCTTGGTGCCTTCAGCTCAACATAATCTACCTACTGTTGAAGCACATCTTAGGGTGCCTTGTTTTGAACCCCTACCTTCAACTTTTGGAAACATTTTTGTGTGTGTGACAGACCAACATGGGAAGGCATTGATATCCAAGATCCCTATAGAGATGAGATGTGAAGTGTAGATGGGAGATGTAGGTTTTAGATTTCGTATGGCTGCAACATCTGCTCTGTAGAACAGGATTGAGACAATGCACATTTAACCAGGCCCCGATTAGATCAGATGGTTCTGAAAGAAAAATCGTTGCAAGAGACTAGCTCACTACGTTGATAAGAAGGAATTACTTTTTAAAATATATATATATTTTTATTGATTTGAGAGAGGAAGGGAGAGGGAGAGAGAGAGAAACAATGGTGAGAGAGAATCATTGACAGGCTGTCTCCTGCACACCCCCCACACTGGGGATTCCTAACCAGGAATCGAACTGTGACCTAATAGTTCATAGGTCAACACTCAACCACCAAGCCACACCAGCCGGACA